TCTCTCTCTCTCTCTCTCTCTCTCTCTCTCTATCTCTCTCTCTCTCCATGCATTACTCTACTGTCGGAGCGTCAGTATAGCTCTGTATAGCTCTGTATAGCTCGTCTACTCGTCATACACAGCGTGATTAATGACTGAAAGCTGGTAGCCAAACACATGGTGGCCTCGCATATGAACTGCTACGATAGGTTTATAGCTGTTAAGTGATTTGTACCTATTCTCTGCTCTAATCACGTTTAGGTGCTCCCCCGCCGTGTCCTTATTAAGACCGGCATATACTCCCCAATGCCAAACATCAACAAAACAACAGTAACAATAATAACAACAACAACATCATCATCATCATCATCATCATCATCATCATCATCATCATCACCCATCAGCATCAGCATCAGCATCAGCATCAGCATCAGCAGCAGGAACAACAACAATAACAACAACAACAACAACAACAACAACAACAACAACAACAACAACAACAACGAGTGTGAGGAAGTCCCGTTCTCCTGAGTCGCTACATTCACCTTGTATACTCACGCTCTAGACGCTTCACCATATTTTCACTCTCCTGCATTGCACCCTTTACACTCCCGCCGTCTCCTATATACCACACACAGTCCTAAGATCTGATGCTTCAATCTTTTTTTTTTAATTGACCGGTCAACCCAACGACCAAGCGATTCAGGAGGCGCGAAAAAAAGAGCAAAAGAAATACGCGGCCAGGTCTTCTCCGTGGGCGACGCAGCGAGCAGAAACATCCGTCACGGAGACATTGAGCCGTAGAGCGGATGATGAGCACGCAGACTCCGCCATGATGTGACAGACGGAGGGGCTTCAGGCGGACGGAGGAGGCGATAAGCGGCGACCGTATGCAGAGTAAGCAGTAAGCAGTACGCAGTAAGCAGTACGCTGTAAGCAGTAAGCAGTAGCTGTAAGCAGTACGCTGTAAGCAGTAAGCAGTAGCAGTAAGCAGTAGCTGTAAGCAGTAGCTGTAAGCAGTAGCTGTAAGCAGTAAGCAGTAGCTGTAAGCAGTAAGCAGTAAGCAGTAGCTGTAAGCAGTAGCTGTAAACAGTACGTGCCTTAAGCAGCCGTAAGCAGTACGCGGTGCACGATCGCCGGCTTCCCCGCATGATTACGTTTAGCGACGTTATCGGCTTCAGAAACGGTAACCGGATAGGGATATGTAATAGACGCAGCATCCTTCCATCTACACAGACGCCCGCACGCACACACGCACGCACGCACGCACGCACGCACGCACGCACCACCACAACGACGACACACCACACGCACTACGCACCGAACGCACACGCACACCCACTACACAACACACACACACACACACACACACACACACATCAAGCTCACACACACACACACAACACACACACGAACACACAGCACACAACACATACACAGACACACACCACAACCACAACACACACACACACACACACACACAACTACAACACACACACCACACCTCGCGGCGCACCAAGATGCAAACACCCACCGAATAGCATCGACGCAGAGAAAGAAATGAGACCCATGAAGGAGCATGAACGGACCACGACGTACGACTACACCGAGAACAGCGCGGCAAAACGGCACAGGCAGCTCACGCACCGGGCGCCATGCACGCCACTGTCGAATCTCGAGTCAAATGGCTTTCTTAGCAGAACACGGAGCCACATCACCGACGCGGCTGCTAGACAACGAGAGAAGAAAGATAAACAATCTATGCAATGACACTAGACCGAAAAGCCGCCATCACACCCGCGCCTCGCGGCAGCTCTCACATCAACGCCCGCAAAGACAACAACACACTCCAAAGCACAGCAGTCGACCGACGAGAGATGTGAAAACACCGCCCTGCGAGAGACCGCGGCCGCAGAGTAAGTAGTACCCAGTTTGCTAGGCAAACAGAATGCATGGCGCTGCCCAGATAATAACATAACCGTTTGGCAGGTGCGCGCGTGTGGGTACATGGCGGCGATACTTTTTTGGGAATGATGATGTAACGCACGCAAGCGCATTACACACAAACGCACGTGTACGTGACACCTGCAGAAAAATACAGCGAGCGACAGAGAGACAGAAAGGGGGAGAGAGAGATGGAGCAGAGAACCAGGGAGGAAATGAGAGTGAGAGAGATGAACCACACACACGCGCGCACGCAACACACCCGCACACGCACACGCACACGCACGCAACGCAGCACCAACAAACACACCACACCACACACACACACTGACACCACACACACACACACACACACAGACACACACACACACACCATCACACACACACACGAGTAAACATCACCAGGCCCTATCACACGCCGCACAAGCAGACAGACAGACAGACAGACGTGTACACACCCGTGGCCAGACACGGCCGTCCTACGCCTGCCAACATTAACGATAGGTATGTTGAATCAATGCTAGTCGCGTTGACGCGGGCGAAGCTTGAGCGCATGATTAACACACGCAGCTGACCAGACAATGCACATGACAGACACGCAC